TGGCCTGGATGCTTTCTTTGGATGAAAATGTGTCTTACAGAATCTTAATTCTTAGCCAACACAAATGGAGACCAAAAGATTATTTTCACAAGTGAAACACACAATCATTACAGCTGATAGTGTTCCTGTCAGGCTTCTGGGAGCCTCTCTAAAAAGTTTTCTATGTTGCTTTGTTATTCTGTTTTGGAGGAATATCCAGCAAACTCTGGTTAAAGGATGCAAATGAATAAATGCCAACAAAATCTGCTTCATCAGAATCAGTCTAATTGATGGCAGGCGCATACTCTTTGGATTCAAAGATGCAGATAAGGTTGTGTACACTTATGCAACCAGGTTATTGCAGCTTTTTTTATTTTTAAGAATTATTCATATCACTGTATTAGTTTGTTTTTCAGTTGAATTTAAAACAATACAGTTGTGTCATTTTAAATGCAGAAGAAAATTCAAATGATTCATTGTGATCTGACATAAGTGCTTCACACCAGTTTGACATTATTTTACTGAGGTATATAAGATCTGGACTCTCTCTGCACTGTAACAACCGTTCCTGGGAGTGATAGAGGAAGCTTTACCGTGCCTCATGTCCCAGTGTCCCAGTGTGTGTCCTGGCAGCTGTAAAGCTCTGCTTGCGTGTCAAGCCTGGTCAGACACATGGCTGCTAAACTGAGACGAGGTTACACCTCTCAATGCTACAACCACGCTCTCCAGAAGGGCTCTGTGTGGAGGATTACAGGCATTTTCAGATTACTGTTAAGCGAGACTGAACTGTCTGTTACTCTGACCCCCTTTATTTTAAAAAAGGGGCAGCATGAACTGCCCCCTGATGGAGGTGAACAGATAGAAAAGAGCAAAACGAGAATTTGGTAAAGACGGTAGAAGGATACGTCAACGTGTGTAATTTAGGTCACCAGTCGTTTGCCTGCCATTAATAAGACCTTAAAATTTCACCTGCAAATTTTAAGTGAACGTGAATAACAAAGTGGCGTGGAGGCAAAGGGGGCTGCGTCTGTTTGGCTTTAATACCAGAGAGCTCCCTCCCATTTAAACGCTTCACACACCCGTCTCGAAATGTCTCTAATTGTAGATGTCTTAATCAAACTGAGCAAAACGTAAAGAATTGTCTCACACTGTGTTTTTGCAAGCAGGGGTTAAGAATGTTTGGGGGGGGAATGTGTGGGATGCTGGCTGACGTGGGACGGCCAACATGGAAGCTGCAGTGCCAGGAGTTTGCCCTGTCCATCTGCTGTTCCACTCACCCACCCACCCACTGACATACTAACAGGTGCGTGCACGCAGATACACGTGTGCTTTCTGTGCACACGCTCTCATACTCCACCCAGCTCTACGCTCGGGCCCTGCCCCTGTCCTCACTTAGCCTGGGCAGCAGATGGTGAGGGGTAAGGCTTGTAGCCCCCCATCCACCCAACTCCAAGCCACCACCAGCCCTATCTCCCCCTGTTTTTTTTTTCCTCTCCCCGCGAATATCACCCCACCCTTCTTTGTGTTGTTGCAGAGCCTGAGTGCTGAAAGGCGAGCCCCAGCGTGTCTTCCCTCCCACCCTCCCACGAATCCTTGGCCGGCTGCCATTGGCGGGACTCAGTCAGGTGTCCTAATGCTTCGGTTAGGGGAGGAAACGCTGGTTAATCTGCCCATCGCGTGCCACTGGCCATAGCGTGGCCTCTTTGTGTCTGGCCCCCCTCTGATCAGTCCCTCCACCCCTTCATCTGTCTTCCCCCCACCACCCAATCTCTTCCAACCCAGTTTTTCCTCCTCAAGACAGTGTCATCCTTCCCGAAACACCAACTCCACTGTCGCTGGAGACTCTTTTCAACTCCATTCCTTGATATTGTCTTGCAACTCATTGTGGTACGGCCAGCGAATGTTCAGATATCCTGCTTGGAGCCTTTCGTCAAATCCTATAAATGTTTTGCTGACTCATCACAGGAACTCTATGCATAATGCAAATGCACAGAAAGTTGCTTCTGTCTCGCAAAACATTTTCAATTAAAATATATAACTCCAGCTCTTATTGTGTGCTGCTGTTTGAACTGATTTTGAAAGGCTACTCAAAGCCCATTCTCCAAGGCATATATGTTTTTTAAAACCCGAGATGAACTCCCCATGCAGGCCACTTGAACTACGGTTTAAGAAACAAAGTTGGCTGCTGAAAGAAAGCCATAAGACGTCCTGTCGGTAGATTTCCTCAAACAGAAAATCTTACACAGTAAGCACATTCATGAACTGCTTTGATGAGACAAAAATGAACCTTTTGGTTTATTAGCAAAGCACTGTGTGAAGGAAAACTAATGCTGGATATCACCCTGAAACACTGTGACTCAGTTGGAAGATTGGTCATCTGAACATCGGTAGTTTGCAAGGTTGATTCCTCCTCACTAACATAGCTCACATTAACTACAATCCACTAACTGGGTACAGATATGTGTCAGCAGTATGAGGGAGGGTGGGTGACTACAAGTGGCCAGTGTGATTTGGAAAACATTCAACTTTGGTATTTTATTTTTTCTGGATCTAGACATTTCAGTGTGTTCTGAGCAACAAGAAATAGGTATGAGTCACTCTTTGTTTGAAAATGCTTGCCTCATTTAGCCAAGCTTAGGAAAGGGTTGTGTCCAAAAGTTGCTCAATGTTTGTGGCCCCATTCACTGTAAAATCAATATGGAAGCAAAAATACATGGCTAATTAAAAATCAACAGCTTGAGTTATTCCTGCCATTTTAGAAGATTATAATTTGTCTGGATTTTTATTGAAAGGTTTCAAATTAGTCAAATCAAAAAAAAATTAAATTCCTGTTTGCCTGAACTGACTGTGCCGGTGGGTTGAATTTGTGTCATTCCTGAATTGCACTTGGAGGCCACACAAAAATATTCTGAGGGACAGAAATGGCCCTCAGGGTTCACTTTGAACACTGACGCAGAACATCCATGCACTTTGGGTTTTATTACAGATTGCAGTTGCCTCACCCATCATTGCGGCTAAGCGACCCTCTTTGAATATGCAGAGGTTTGCTCCCTGGATGTAACCAATTTATAAAGCTCCTCTGGCTTCGTTCCCTCGTTTTTGTGCTGTTTGCTTAAAAAAAACTAAAGAACATTAATAACCATCATGCATTGCATTCTTATGGCATTTAATATTGATTCTTCTAGGAATTCAAAATGAATTTGGGAACACAGATTTCAGTTTAGCTTCTCCCTCTGCTTGGAGTGCAAGACACAGTAAGCTGAAAATGTCTGAATCCATCTGATTCGACTTGTTTCATTCTATTTCGAATGACACAAAATGTTTATCCGTTGAGCTTAATTTTTCAATGTTACTCTGTTTTCAATTGCTGCACAGTGTTTAATTTATGTTAAAATTACATACTCCAAATGGACTGGTGCACAAATGCACAACACACTTTTTTTGTTTCTTTCTCTTTTTTTTGACAATCTCACCCTGCAGTTCTGCCATTTTGTTTGTTGACCTTTTGTATAAAATAATAATAATAATAATAATAATAATAATAATAAATAATATAATAATAATAATAATAATAATAATAATATAAATAATAAAATAAATAAATAATAATAATAATAATAAATAAATAAATAAATAAATAAATAAATAAATAAATAAATAAAAAATGTGAGACAATTTGAGAGGTGCGGACATTTCCATGAGGTTCTGTGTCTGGTGATGGAGGGGCACCTTGAAACCTGCTCTGCTCTGATTAGGATAAATAATCCTCAGATGCTGTTTGGAGGAGACTGATATGGTAGTGCTGTGTAGTTAGAGAAAGGTCATTATCATTTGACCCCTGCTGACCCTCTTTTTGAAGGACCCTCAGTTTGGTCACTGCTCCGCAGGGTCAGGGTTCAAAGTGTCCTCAGCTGTGCTGTCATGGAAACCACAGCTTTGCCCATCTGATGGTCACTCTTCATAAAAAAAAAAATAATAATAATAATAATAATAATAAACAACCTAATTTAAATGCAGGAGTTCATGACTGTTATTCAGGAATGTAAAACTTCCTGAGTTGATTCCATGCTTTTCAAGTAACAGATTAACATTGTTGCAAATTGATGTTTCCCCTCCAGCTTTTTATATTTTCATTTTGCATTTTGCCTGAAGTTTTTACACTGCGAGTGCTGCATTTCAGCACTGGCACCGAAGCAAAGTGTCTGCCATGGTGGTTCACTTCCTGTTTTTGATCAGTGTGCAGGGTTTTCTTGCAATCAGTGCTGCAGCAGGGTGAGGGGGGGAGAGGGAAAAGGGGGAAAAAAATCAATACTTTGAATATAATGTGTGGCCAGTGGAATAGGAGAATGATTTATGTAGGGATGGCTCCTTTCTGCATCAGATGGGACATGTGTTTGGTGGTTGAATGAATGAATGAAATGAAGAGAAGGAGGGTGAGTGGCTCGGTGCTGAGGCGTGCTTCTGCTGCTGTCGGCTGTGCCACCACCCCTCCTTTTTTTCCCCCTCATCCCTCCATCACACCATGCTTTCTGACCATCCAGCTTAGTCTTATAGCTCTGCTGTTGTGCCGTGTGATCAAAACCCAGAATGCATACAAACCCGGACCAGGAGTTTTAGGACCATCAAAAAAAAAAAAAAAAAAAGAAAGCACATGTCCCCATCTGCCCTCCAGATTACTGAGAACATGTTTCTACGATAACTCAGCAAACTAGGAGGGGGCCGGAGGGGGGCGAGGAATGAAAAGGTAGAGGGAGAGTAGGGGAGTAGGAGAGTCCGGTGGACAGACTGAGGGAGAAGAACGAGGCAAAAGGAACAAGAGCACGACTACGAGGGAAAGAGGAAGTCTGGAGAAGGGACGTAGAGGTGGAAGTGTGGAAGCGGGAAAGAGTGAGGGAAGCGAGGACATAACAAGCGTAGAGAAATGTGTGTGTGTTTGCTTATTGCAGTGGCCCCACCTACCCCTCCATCCAGTTAAGGAGGCATAGTCCCGAGGAGGAGGAGGAAAAGGAGGAGGGAGATGGAGGGATCCCCTCCCTCAGCCAGCGACACACACACACACTCATCCTCTCCCTGTGGCTCTCACACACACACATACACGCACACACACACTCTCTCTCTGCTCCATGAGGCAGCAGTCGCTGAGCAGCTCTGGATAGACCACGCGAGGTTCTGCAGGTGTCCCACCCTTCTCTTGAGGCAGGGATGCTCCAGAAGGTACTGGCTCCTTTCTGCTTCTTTTTACAACATTTTATTCTGATTGAGGACGCTGTGCATTTGGCTTCTTTTTGTATCTTCTCTTCTTTATTTTGATGGTAGATTCTTCTCTCGTAGTAAAGCTTTTCCCGCTGATGTGAGGTAGTATTTGCAGTAGTGTGAGAATGAATGTGTGTTCATACAGTTGTTTACAAGCCCCACTGTTAGCTGCAGGTCTGACAACTTCAGCAAAGTGGGCTCCTGTTGGTCCAACTCTGTAGTATTTTTATTTTAACTACCTTCTGCTGCATTTTAACACACCTTTTTTTTATAGAGGTCAGGGCTTTGACTGCTTTTTGCACTATTTAGCCTTGAGTTTCATTTTCATTGGCACTCTTACGGATGGAGAAAACAAAGCGCATTATGCACGCCATCTATATGCATTGTTATTATGTTTGATTGAAAGCTCTCACTCAATTTAAATCCAATAAAGAAACACAAAATTTATTCTATAGAAATGATGTATTCTAAGTAGATAGATAGATATATTTTTTAACTCAAATTTGTAAATGAAAGAAAAATATTTAATCTTCTATCTTTATGTTTAAGTTGTATGTTTTTAGGGAGAAAAATCTGAACTGGTTAATAATCCTGTGCGCATGTAAGCGAGAGCACATGTCTCGTATGTAACGTGGTGTACTGGCAGACACCCAGGACAACCATTTCTAGTCAGGATGGAGAGACAGTGAAATACAACTTACATTTCAAATTATGACTGAGACTATCCTCTTTAAAACATTTACTTTCTGAATTAAGTTGAATCTTCAGGTCTTGATTAGTGAAAAAAGCTCTATTTTGAACAGGCTGCAGGCAATTTTATGGGATTTATTTGTAGCCAATACTTCGAAAAATACAAATTTTGCTCATTTTTTGCACCTTTTTACCTTACTCACATTTAGATCCAAATACTGATATATCAAAATTTAAAGGAGTTTCAAAAAATAATACTTTTTAAAAAAAAAAGAACACCCCCCCCCCCCACCAAAAAAACAGTGTGTCGCTGTTTGCAGACCTTTTAGAAAAAACATCAACATACTGTTCACTTGTTTTCAAAATCAAATTTTTTGCGGTTAGTATTGACCTATTAATGGTATTACCCACAAAGCGTGTGGCGGGGCCAGGGTCACATCCCACAAGGGTTTGGATGGTCAGCCCCCCTGGCCGCAGAGTGGTCAGAGAGTGACCAATAGGACCCGAGCTGTGGACATCCTTCCATCTAGCTCCTTTCAAACTGGAGGTCACATGAGTCAAAGGGTAATAAGTTTAACCCCCTCGAGAGGCAAGAAGTCAGAGGTCACAAACAAGGCTGTAGGGAGAAGGTTTGAATCATCGATCAGTGGCACTCCTGGTTATATCTGTGCATATTGATAATGTGCTTCATTCTGCCAATCTCATTTGCTCATTTGCATTGTTTGGAGAGCATCAACAGAAGTTGTTATGATGAGTGTCCAGAAAACAGCTCGGGTATTTTTAAAAGGTCCAGATTATAATGCAGCTGTGTGCAACGATGGTTTTTTACGCATATCTGTAAATCTATACAAATCTTTAAACTTATCGTGATGCAGGGTATGCAAGATTTGCCTTTATTGCCTATTACGCAAATATAACTCTAGCAGTCAAGTAATTGTTTACTGAGTTCAAAAATGATATATTTTTTTAACTAATCCAACTTGTTATAATCTGCTTTGCTCTCTTGTCTCTTTGTGAGTAAAATAATGTTTAAATAAGCTAACCTGATCTCTCACATTGAGAAGAATATCATTATCTGTCTTATAACTCCTTGATTTGAATAAGCACAGGCTTATGTAAAGGGGTGTGGCCTTTTTTGTGCATTTCCCAATGTTTTTCTTGCAAACCACTGTTACAGTCTTTTTTTAAATTATCATGTCTAAATCTGATTCCGCTAAAAAGACAGTTAAGCACAATCGGGACGGTTTCTCAAATGTAGCCTTTTTGTGACCAAAGTCAAATCTTCCCTGCATTTCTGAAATGGTGGCATGCTGATGTTTAAGCATGTTCCAGTGGTATCCTCCCTGGTTGATGTTAGCGATGTGTCAGCATTAAGCTTGTCCTGCCTGCTCGGCTGCTGGGGCCTTGGTGGCGACCAGCCCAGTCCAGCCCAGCCTGGCCGAGGGCCAGACCAGACACGTCTTGGCACCGGACAAGGGACGTGACAGGATCAAGGATTGCCAGAAAAGTGCTCCTACAGTATTGTTTAAACATAGGTCAACAAAATAATGCTGTACATTTGATGTTTTTTTTTTTTTTTTTGTCTTCATTCAATCTTTTAACAGTGATGGAATCAGGAGAATGGTTGAGAAAGAAGAGGATGCAAAGAGAGATTCAACAAAGCACTCCAGGTCACGCTCTACAGCAAGATGCCGCGACAGCATGGTACGTCCCTCGACCAAATTAGCCAACTCTAGCCCTGATCTATTCAGTCCTCAACATGGGCACAGCACTCCATGGATTTAGGTTCATGTATTTGAGGACAAGCACCTTATATAGAATGTGGTGAGCCATTAAGTGTGGGAAAAGGAGAAGCGTACATGTTGCTCAGTCAGCTATTGCACAGACAGAGACCATCAATCACCAATGTAAGCTGCCTTGCTCTTTTTGCTGGTCCCTCAAGCCTTCTCCCAGATCTGGGATTAGGCAGCACTTTGTCTGCAACACTGTGTTTATTTGGGGAGGATTTCTGTGGAAAACTTTGACAACAAATCATGCAAGCAGACTTTTGGATATTGATATGCATGCATAATAAATGTTAAAGTGTGTGCTTTGAAAAATTTTCTTATGACGCCTAATACTGGTAACTTTTTGCTGCAGTAATTTTTAATTTTAAAATTCAGATAAGACATATCATTTCAAATTTGTGGGGTGAGCGTCCACGAAATACATCTTCTTATTATAGAAAGCAAACTGTCGGAGTAAACATACCAAAGTTTTACTGCCAGCTGAACACCATGTTCACTTAAATCACTTTTTAAATCCATTTACTTCATATATTCACTAATCAATATTCTCATCCTGCTTTGTGTGGGGGAGATATGTTTCATCCCTTAAACTTGTATTGTGACTTTTGATCATACAAGGAATTGTAAATATTTTTTATAAATTCAAACCAGATGTCTTAACTTAGTTACTCCATTCTGTTTTCTACTGTGTTTTTTTATTAGGATAAATATGAATTTTGGGTATTACTCCTAAAATTATTCATGCTGTTGCAGATTAAACTATAGTAAAAGTATCATTTTAATTTTACCAACCAGTGACTGGAAATATTGTTAATGTTTCCGTGTCCCAGTCAGACATGAATCTTACGCAGAATGTATGGAGCAGAGTTGAAGATGAGGGAGACGCAATGAGGTCTTCCAGCTTCAAAGTCATCACTAAAGATAAATCATCAAAAATAGTGAAAACATGATAAGGTTTTCACTGTTTGTGAGGGGTTTGGTTGCTGCGATGGAAATCATTTTTTTGTCCCCCACTGATTATTAAGAAGGTCCTAAATAGTTTTCAACAAGCTGTTCTTAACTAAAAAAATAAAAATAAAACACTTTAAAAAACAGAAATAAAAATATACTCACACAAAGTAATGCTATTTTTCATATTTATATTTATTTATGTATTTATTTTTAGAAAAGTTTTCTGATTCCCTCCCAGAAACAAACGTCATGGTTGAATAAAAATCATTTTCAATCTATTTCAAAGTAAGTTTGGGCTGAAATGAATGCTTTTCGCAATAGTGGACGAGCACAGATGATAAGCAGCTGGTGGGCTGCTTGTCGTGTTAAGATTAAGCAATCAGCCATTTGGTCAAGGTCTTGTTTATCAAATATAGTTTGACCAGCTGAAAGGTTCACGTTACCCTTATCTCCTGAAAAATAACGGCTGCTGATGCATGTGTGTAGGAGAAACCAAGTTGTACAGCTTTCCATTCATTTTTAACGACACACGTCTGTTATTTTTAAAACACATTCCCATCTGTGAAGAACAGAAAAAGTGTTGGCTTAAATATAGTTTTTATTTCAAATGAATAAATGAAGCTTGTCTTCTGATGGGCTTTCATTGAACTAATGCAGGGGCCTGGTTAGAAATGCTCTTTGTAAAGGTCACTGTTTGTTGTGATGTGGACAATGAGGCAGCCAATAACTGCCTGTGAAACAAGAACCTAATTGGAGTGTTATGTCAACGATTTCATACTTTGACATGAAAACGGGCATCAGAGGAGATAGAAAAGTCCTCCTTCACACTCTTCATAAACATATAGGATTATAAACTCAATATAGTGACACAGCCAGCGCATAATGGTGAGATTCTGATAAATATCAGGGTTTGATCGGCTGAACGAGATCAAAATTTTTGTAGAGAAATTTAATCTCAAGATTGTTTCTGCATCACTGTTCTTACTGGATCAAAATAGTTTAACGTATTCTATTAAAACGTGTATCAGTCCATTGTTGTTAAACATGCAATAATATTAGTGATTCCATTTTACTTTATATTGCAAACTGCGGGTCACGTCAGATGATCTGTTGAGCTCCGGTTATAAGCTTTTTTTCAGTCCATGCTTTAATGCTTGTTTCTGTTTTTGCTTTTTTGGAGAAACAGACAAAAAGAAAACACTGCGATAAATTTAGCAACTGTTTTTGGTTATCTTTTGTGAATCGCTCAGTATTACTCAGAATTTATTGCTTCACAACATTAAGGACATTTGTCACTGAAATATTAATATTAAGTATATAAAAATACTATAGTAGATCCAAATATCCAAATTCCTCAGGAAACACTGGACAAAAAGACTTTTTTTTTTGGATTTATCATTCAGTTGTCATTGGAGTCAAGCGTATTAAAGAAAAAAGGGAGATTGACAGAGCCGGCCCAAAGAATGAGCAACCTTGGTAGCTTAGGGCCTATCCAAAGAAGGTCATAATTATCACAAATAAAAGCAAAAAAATAAAAAATAAAATTATTCGTATCAAGTACAATTTACAAATATACTGTAAATCTTACTCACTCATTCTACTTGCACTATCACAAGTAGAATGAGGCCTTTACCTGTAATAGTGCAAAATCAAACTTGTGATACTCGATATTTGTAATATTAGATAAAAATTGGTGTAGTTAGACCTTAAATAGTTTTGTTGATGAACATATTAACTCTTGACACCTTAGACAACAAACTAAAAGCTGCGGGGGTGGAGCCATTGCAGTTGTTTCACACGCAAGATAAAAATAATAAAGACAACTAAATTACAAGAAAAAAATTGCCTAGCAGAACATAAGCAACGACACACAGCGCTCTGTATGTCACTGCTAGTTGAGCAGGTGAGTATGAGTCACGTTGAAATGCATTAACTCATACGATAAAGAACGATTATTGAAAAAGCAAACATAAAAGAATCCAAATAACTTTAGAAACTCTAAAGTAAGTGTTAAATTAATGTTCTTAAAATTATAGCTCATATACTGATATTTAAGAAGCTGTTTTATGCTTCACCTTTCTAAAAAAGTACAGATAACCAGCAAAAGAAAATAAAACGATCATGAAAATCAATTTGCTTTCCACAATTTGCTTATGTGGTAGGTGACAGGTCAGTAAATGAATGTCTTCTATAATAAAAGCATTATGAGTTATAATATAGGTTATGTTAAATGTCTGTTGGGTAAACTATTAGACACAAAGGGGATGTAAAATGTACCTTTATGATCGATGCTAGTTGGAAAACCACATAATCAAATATTGCTTAGGTCCCCAAACAGCCTGGGACCGGCTCTGGAGGCTGGTGGCACCGGGGGCCGTTCAGCTCCTTTTCAACAAGAAAAGGTGACAAACAGAGGCTGTGTGGGACAGGGACACTCTCAGACGGTCTTAAATATACTCCCCACTCATTTACATGACACATAAATTCACATTTAAATGGCAGAAAATCGCTCCGGCGGTTGATACTCTGGGAAATATAAAAATATAATTGTCATCAGTTGTGTGCGTATGTGTATGTTGAAGGACACAAGGGGGAAATACAAGATTGAAGAGATGTATTGAGGAATTATGTATCCAATAACTGAGATGAGATGTAAATGTGGTGTGGACAGTGAGTAGGCTGTTTTTTTTCTTCTTCGGGTCGTTCCATCTGAGACTGCAGTGCAGGGGCTAAATGGCAGCCAGACTCATATCCTGTGACTGGCAAGAAAAGGTGGCTGCACTGTACGCTGCAGAACTTATAAACCACTCAATAGTGTTTTTTTTTTTCAATGATGCACCAATAAAGCAGGATCAAATCCTCTAAATTTAGTTAACGTTGTAAATAAAAATGTTTCACTAATTTTGGATGTCCCAACCTATTGAGAAAGAATCAAAATCAGCCAATTTTTTCACAATCAACTCGGATTTGTGATCATCATATTTAAAATTATATTGTGTACCCCGTTCAAACAAATAAATAAAAATCATAATTTTTTTGTTGGTAAGCACACCAAACGCTCTTATTTTAAGTTAATTACACATGAAATAAAGGACAGGTGTATCTGCTTTGATGCATTAATTTCATAAGCTTGTTATTCCTTAGTTGTTGTTTTTTTATTTTTATTATTGACTTCAAAACTTATACTCCTGTCAAGTAGTATAAGTATCCCGACAACATATTTTTCTTAAAAAGAACCTTAGCACAGGCCTGTATAAAGCTTGCACAGTACATCTCGATTTATTATGCCTGACAAAAGAAATTCTCAGATTAGTTCCTCGATCTTTTGTGAAAATTACTTGTTAGCATTCTGAAGCTAGTATTTCTGGTAGAGAAATAAAAGGGAAATTTATGCATTGTTCCCCTCTGGAATACTCATATATATATATATATATATATTTTTATATTTTTCTATCTCATCCCAATTTTGTTCATTTTGATATAAACTCCCTTCAGATTCAGTTCAGACAGCTACGGATTAATAAGTTTCTCTACCCCAGATTTTTGTTATTCCTCCATCTCGTCATCTTTCCCTCCTTTTCCCCTGCGTGTTTTTTTTTTCTGTTTCTCCAGACGGGTTCCCAACGGAAAGGCAGGGGCTAATACACATGTCACATCGGTTCACGCAGATCCCAATTGTTTTTAGCCACAGAGCAGCTCTCAAAGGTCTGCTCCTTGTGTGTGTTTCCCAGCATGTGTTCTTGTATGTTAAAGCCATGCACATGCTCTCACACAGCTCCTACGGCCTGACCCACCTTTTAAACCTCACACTGTGGACGTACAGCAACATTTTCTCTGTTATTTTCTGTCTGGATGTCACCACATGTCACTGGACCATCAACAAACAGTACAATATGGCTCTGCAGGAGGCCTCCTCACAGACATGTTTCATAATTTGAGCTGTTCTGTCTATTGTATCAACCTCCTTTGATAAATTTACTTCCTACTGATACAATGCGTCATCTTTTTTTGTTTTTTCATTAGCAGAGGACAATTGCTTGTTCAGCGAATGTCCAGGACTCTAATGAAGTGCTGAAGCAAAAGCTACAGGGTGAGAGGCCATGAGGGACATTTGCTCTTCTTTACTGTGAACGACATCCGATGGACAAAAAAATACCATATGTATGGTTAGTTACTTATTTACTTGTAGTTTATTGGTCAGTATTGTTTGTGGTAACCAGCAAATTGTACAACACTAACTCAGAATTGACAGATACAGAGGTTTGGATCCACATTTAAAAGGCAAAAATTGCGTTGTATGGTCTTACTTGTAATGGTTGTGGCAGAAAACAGGAGCCTCCATTTCTGGGACATCACTATCCATTCAGATGAGTTTTTTTTCCCTGGTCTGTCTCTTTTCTGAATACTCAGGCTGTTGAGCTCCTTTTATTCAGACTGAACCCCACAGCAGAGCTAGTGAACGCCTTTGAGCAGAGCTGCAGGTGCATAAGGAGAGAGGAAGAGAAAGCCTCTTACAGCAAAAAAGTTGGTAACAATTTAAAATTCTAAATTCAATTGCAATTCTAGCTAATTTCTAATTAAATACAGATGTGTTGTTGACAATATTTGCTGTATTTGGACAAATAACACAAATGACATGGAAGAAAAAACGTTGTTCCGCCTTTTTCACAGCTTTTCAAACTTAAGCCATTTTAAAATTAAATAAAACACAACAATACCAATTGAATATTTTCATTAGTTAGCAATTCTAAGATCTAACATCTTAGGGGACAGGTTGGGGTGTGTGGTGGGCGGGGGGCCTCATGATGTTGGGACAGATGGTATTTAGCTCTAGCTGTGCCGGGCTCAGTGGGACCCGAAGCTTAAGAGGTTAGGCCTGTCAAAACCACTCTGCTCATTCACTGCCTAACAAAGTGTGGACTGTCAGCCTGTTCCGTTTAATAAACTTAAGATTTTTCTTTTGTCAATGCCTGAGCAACACTTTTGCAACTCGATGACCTGAATATCCCGACATTCTTCCAGCTCAGTGGCAGAGGATGCACCTTTTAGGCAGGGACTTCCCAAAGAATATAGAAACATGGCGGTTAAACATGAAAAAAAAAAGATGATTGGTTTTTGGGCAATTATACTCAAAGTTTATGCCAGAGTTGTATTATTTGAGACTACATATCTTCCAGGTATAAAACAACCAATAGAATAAATGAGTACTAGAAATGGTCCGAAAGTTAATAAATCAATTCATATTTTTTCATATTGTTGTTCCTGTATTGATCTGGTTATGTATTTTACTTTTAATTTTATGTCCCTTAAACTTCATGACGTTCAGTTGAAATGGTTAATTGTGAAAGTTTAAACTTCGCCACAAGAGGGAGACATACAGCAACGTGCAGAATAATTTTTCGACACACAACTTCACTGCAAAAATCTAAACACAGATACAGGCTGAAACACAGTTATTATTTAAACGTGCTCCTTAACTGTTGAGTAATTAATAAGTATAATAATAACCATTTGGTCTTCTTTTCAATCTTTCAATTTATTCCAGTGTTTGCTAAGGTCAGAGGCTGAAAGCTGGTCAGTGGGTGAGCTGCACGGGATGCCTGGGTGACATCTGACCTCTGACTGGGCGTGCGGGTTGACCTTTGAGGACAAGGTCCGACAATGCAAGGCACGTGCCGTGGCCTAATCTCCATGGTAACGTAAGACCTTTCAGGAAATGGTGGGGAGCAGGGTCAGAGTTGTCTTTATGTTGATTGTTGTAAGACATCTGCTGTCGATTGACTCGCTGAATGTATGCAAAACGGCTTTTTTACGACAAACAGGGCCCAGGAAAGGAAGCTAAAGGCTAACTGGGTAATCTCTGCAGGCAACTGTGATGATGCATCTTGTTCTCACAATCACCTGGAGAGATTCTGCGGTTTGCCTTGCACTCGGTTTTGCAGAGGTTTTTCTTTTCTTTTTCTTTTTTTTTATCTTACAGTTCATTTATAAGATTAGAAAAACGCATTGTTATCTAAACTGACTAAATATGTGATTCTGTAATCAAAAAGTGGTTTTGTAATCTATCTTAATAAAGGAGTCTTTTAAAACAACTTCATCTCTGATTCCTAAAAGTCAAAGTATTTGATGACTGGTCAAAAGAAGAACAAAGAGATTAACTTTGAGTTACTGTGCAGAATGAGGGCCAACAGGTGCAGCCCACCTGCAGGCCAATATGTTTCACATTCTTTGATGCTATACATGAGAAAGCTTCCATGCATGACATATTACTCCTCAGATTCTTTCTAATCATTAACATTATGCAAGTGTTTTTTTATTTATTTTTATATCACCACAGCCTCCCCCCCTCTCCTCCTCCCCCAGCCGCCAGCCCCACACACACCCACTCCAAATTCCCCACCCCACTGTCTCATCTCGTTCTCCACCACGTTCTGCTGTGTTTTGGTGAAATCTCAGCTGGCAACTGTGAGTCGTTCACTAGCTGCTCTCACAATGGCCTCTGGGATTATGCTAAACGCATCGCCTCGGCTGCTCCCCCGCATCGACCGGCATCGACGACGCCCTTTGGAGCGTACAGGAAAGGAGACGGAGGGCTCTCAATGAAGATGTCACTGCAATTACACAAGCGTGTGTCATAGACACTCTGTGTGTCTGCTCTTCCTCCTCTTAACACTCCCCCCCCCCCACCTCTCCGCTTCTCCTCTTTTTTGGAAAAAAGAATTTCTTTTCGACACTCTTTTGAAGTGCAGCTTCGTCTTTTGCAGGTCTCTCATAATGCAGGCCCATTTTGAATTTGCATGAATTCACCATCCAGATGCTTCTGCTGCCATTTTGCCTTATGATGATGTGTACTGTACAGGAGCAGCTATTGTATTATGGCTCCATCAAAAGAATAATGATGCCTTGATTGTCCTCAGTGCAAGTTAGAAAGTTTCAGAGGGAACCAAATGTGTTAATTTCTCTTCTTTTTATTTCAGTTTTATGATGTTGTCACAAAGGAGGAGCTTTCTGATGTGGATGGTACTGCATCAGGAACTGATTGGCTGATGCTTCACTGCCAACAGTACCTGATGCATTGCCTTCAGCATCGAAAGAGACATCACATGACTCCAGCTGCTTTTGATCAAACTTACTCACAGGTTTTCTACAGACAGTGACAAACTGATGATATTCTTTCTGTTTAATGATTGAAAATAAATATTTGTGCTGCACACATTAGTCAAACCTCTGAGCTCTGATGTCCGGCTGGAATGTTATGACCATTTTCCAACTTCCCATCCATCCATCCATCCATCCATCCATCCATCCATCCATCCATCCATCCCATCCATCCATCCATCCATCCATCCATCCATCCATCCATCCATCCATCCATCCATCCATCCATCCATCCATTTTCAGGAGGTGCTGGTGCCTATCTCCAGCTAATGTTCCGGGTGAGAGACGGGGCTCACCCGAGACAAGTCGCCAGTTTTCCAACTTATAGGAATGATATATTTAATTCTGTATTTCTGTTTTCTGGTGTATAATATTTTCGCTCCCCAATTCAAAACATTGTGCCTGCAGGACACACTGTAATAATTTTTGCACATTTGGTATTTCACTGAACGTTAGATCCAAAGCTTCGACTTTATTTTTTTGGACAATAATAGGAACATGTGGCCCCTTGCCAAACTTGTAGTGCTTCTTGAACCATTTCATATTTTATCAGCCTATCGCCACAACTTCCTTTGCATTTTCTTGCAGTTCTATTAGAGAGCAACACACAGAAGTGAATTATTGTAAACTGGAACCAAACAGGTTGTTTAGTAACAGAAATCTGACACTCTACCATACATTTGAATGTCAAGCATTACTTTATGCTCCATCTCAACCTGCTTCGCATTTCTGGAGACTCAACATTTTGCCTATTTTGCTTTTTCCAAAAAAATCTTATGCTCAGACAGATTGAATGGAGGGCATCTCTAAAAATCAAATCTTGACATAAATACTCAAATGGATTCAAGTCTGAACTTTGACTAGGCCACTTGAAGTAATGAATGGACACATGTTGCATCTGTGGCTCTAAGTTCAGGGTCACAGTCCTGCTGAAAGGTCAACCTCTGCCCTAGTCTCAAATCATTTGGTGGTTTTCAACCAGGATTGCCCTTTTCTTAGTTCTACCAAATTTCTCACCTTCTCTCACCACCTTTCAGGTCGGCACCACGTTTTACATTAGGGATGGTACATTTATTGAACATGCCCTTTAACATGCTGTGTTTCCATAAACTGTTTTCTTTTACTTTTGTAACTTTAAATCCGACTTTTTGTTGTCTTAATTTTACTAATGGCTTTCTTTATTTTCACTTTCACACAATTGTGAGACCTGTGGAGTACAAGGCTAATAGATATATCGCCATCAGAATCTCCAACCTGGACAAATTTGGAAGAAATGATTGTATCTCTTCCAAGTTACCATCTGCTTCCCTCCTGCTTTTTTTGATTAAATCTCATCTTGCCTGCTAGTCCATAGTGATGTCTCAACAGGTTGGCGGTTGTGCTTACCTATTTCCATTTTTGCATGACACACTTATTAAATTGCACATTCTTTTTCTTCTGCTTTACATTTATCCACTACTTTTTGTCAGCTTGTCACATAAAATTTCAGTAAAGTGCATTCAATTTAGAGTTTTAATGTGGAAATGTTATAATCTTTGTGACACATTAACCTGAATATAAATATATCTCATTGCTATCTGAGAAATCATATTCCTCTCTCGTTCGGATTAGACACCTGGATGCTTTTGGGCCACACCTCAGTACTCACTGTAGATTTAGATTGACTTTTAATAATTTGAGAATAACTGTAAGTTGCAGGGGGAGACTTTCTCATGCTCAAGTATGTATGAAAAACCGCGTCGGGGCTAATTTCTGTCTAAAATAGTTCTGGTGACGAATATGAGAAGGAGGAAGGTTCTCTCATCTCCTTATCAGTGTTGGATACTATCATTTTTGGCTTGATATGCATTTGATTGATTCTGTGGTTTGTCCCTTTGTTGTAGCATGTTTAATCACTTGCCAAGTTAAATAAATGTTCATCAAAAAGTAAAAAGTTTTTCATTGTCGTTTTGTTTGTTTGTTTCCACATTTCCTTGCACTGAAATATTTCTAAATATCCTGAATGCTGGAGTTCATAGTTAAAATTGCTGCATCAAAGGGTGTGGCTTGGAGAATCTACCTACCATCTTCTTGTACACACCCTCTGAGAGGGCAGAAGGTCAGCATACACGGAGGAAGTGCCAAGTGCCTTTCAATCTACTTATATCAGCAAGCTTCTGGCGCGCGGAAATGCGCAATCACTCGCATTTCTCTTCGTCCCTGAGAGAAGTCCAAAGGAGCCTTGCCAATTCCGACAGATGTTCCTTCAGCGCAGGCAACTTGTAAACACCATGAAATGGTTTGGAGGTTAATGCAATGGTTGCTGACAGAGATCTTCGACACAAGATTTGATGATACCACCTGCTGCTCACACAGCCGATTTATAAAGGCTTCACTTCTGAGTTCGCAGGGTGACAAACAACTTACACAAAACTAAGAGAGCTGGATTTTAATGGCCTGACTGAAGAGTTTATATGAGGTACAACGTGTTCAACTTTAATTATATAAAAAGTCACTAGAATACTACATAGAAATCAAAAACCTAATTTATTCAACACTTAGAAAAATAATTAGTTAATCCAATTTAAATAAATTGCTTCAGTTTGTAATAAATAATTCATGTAAGCCCATCCAGGCTAATGTGTTACGTTTTCAAGTGGCACAAACTTAATAAATTACCTTGAATAAACTTAATTCAATTCTGTCTTACCATTAAAGCAACTTTTTCAAGTTGGATCAGGCCTTCTCTTCTATTTTGAGTAAAAATCAGAAGTTAAATTTATTCTGTATTTAGTGGTGTATTTAAAGCATTTCTGCAAATTAGTTTTTAGAACAAACATCTATTCAAAATTTGAAGATCATCTTTTATATATAAGGTTGTTTCATGCAAAGCAGCTTAACGTAAATAGTGTTAAAGTTGCAGCCCATGTTCTGGATTCATCTGGTGGCACACAAATGCACTTTGCAATTCCCTCAATATCGAAGGTTATCCCTGCTTTTTTTCTGCACCCTATTTTTTTCAATTTTCTTTTTTTTTCCTTCTGCTCAATTTTCCACGAGTCTGCTTGGATGCACTCTTATTTCACAACTATCTTTTCCTGACTTACAACATCTCTGTTTTAAAAACTCTTTTGCCAACGCCCGTGTTGAATATTTATAAATTCTGAAACGCATCGCTTTTGCTTTTCATGAGTCATAATCATCAAAAAATTCAAAAACAAAAAGAAGGGCTTCAAGTATATCACTGTGTGTGATAAAAAAAAGTATGTTTTTCACTCTTCCAAATAAAACACAAAAAATAACTTTTCATTCTAATTTATTGAGGCAATCCTTTGTGTGCGTGTGTGTTTATTTTTATTATTTTTTTTTTAGAAGACAGGAATATTTTCTCCTTTACTATCTGTTAGTCCATAGAGGGAGCCATGCTTTTCTCAACCACAACCGCTGAGAGAAACAACCTCAGAGCTGAACCTGCTCGGTACACCGCCCCCCTTCTCCTCCCTCTCCAGAAGGTCTCACTGTCCTCAAACAGCATGTTCATCACAACCTTGTTCTCCGTCAAACATCTAACATCCCCTGCTCAGCTGACACGGTAGCGGCCAGACTGCTGGGTTCGCCACACGTCCAGGTCCGCAGCTGCACAACCAGAAGACGGTTTCTGCAGCACCGCTTGGGGAGTTGAAGAACCGCAGGTAAACGCAGGTAGGTTGTCAAAGCGCGATGCATGCAGCTTTCTCGCTTGTTGACGAATAATGCAATACTGTAACAGTTGCTGAAAACGCGAAATTGGAGAAATTGTGCTTGAAATGTCTCGAAAGTTTTTTTTTAATTGTTTTATTTTGAAGCATGCAATGACAAATAAATAAATAAATTACCTGAGGTTATAAGTGATTATTGCCTAATTATTGAAGGAGACATTTTTCACAACATGATATGGAATCCAGAGCTTGCTCAT